CAACAAATTTTCTTTTTCTTTTTCTTTTTCTTTTTCTTTTTTGCGTCATTCATTGACCAACTTGGAGTTTTCTACTTTGTTCTTGTGTCACTCATTGACCAAACAGAAAAGAGAGAGAGAGAGAGATACATACAAAGTACAAGTATATGAGATCATCAGAGACGAAAGAACCGTTACAAATCAATAGCTAGTTTATGCATCATACATGTTCTTGTGTGGTTTAGTTGGGAGCTTAATTCAAACTGCACGTATTCATTGCGGAAACAACCAAACAAGTTATGAGCACTCGTTTCCTTTTGTTGATTGAATTTATGCAGATTTTGGATTCCAATCTAGAAACACCTACGTACTTAGTTGAAGAGTAGCACATGAAATCGTAATATATGAAACATGCAAATTATTTCTTCTTTCGGATGTGTGTACAGTGAATATATATAGCATGAGAAATTAATTGATGAATTATCTTCACCATCTCAATGTTCACACACACCTTAGATATATGTCTAATTAGAGCAAATGTATATGTTATCTTATCCTCAATGTTATCTATTCTTTTATTTTTTATTTTTTAAAATTCAACTAATATTAGGGAAGGAAATATTCTAACAAAACCTTAAGTGTATGAATATTTTCTTGAGGCGGTTATATACCAAACTACTACATTAGTGAGTCATTTACTTCGATTTTATATTTTTAGCTCTAATTTTACGTGACACCACAACATCGTCTTTAGTTACAAACCACTGCAAACCATTATAAAAAAAAAGTACTCTTGTTGTATACATTGGCAAGTCAAAATCTACATGGATCGATTCTACCACCGCTGACCAATCAAAATTTTTTTGGACGAAATCTTGTTTCATTTAATAGAAGGTCAAACACCATATTACATCAAAATAAACTCAAATAATTGAGTTCACACAAAATGCAATGCATACAGACATAGCCTACTATAAATAAAACTAACAAAATATGTAAGGCATACATAAAGGCATAAAGCCCACATAGAGGCTAACCAATCAAAATTTGGTAAACGGAAGAGGGTACAAATTTGATAAGGGCAACGATTTGGAGGAGTTTCAATTATGTCATATATGTACATAGAAATAGAATCATGCTTTTCAAAGTCACCCAAGAAAAAAACTATAAATAAAAAAATGTCCAGAATTTTTTAATTGGGTAGAGAGACAACTAAACTTGGATAATTACATATGCAGCAGATCACAGCAACTAAAAAGTAAATACTTTCTATTGTTTTTATTGGTTGGAAAAAGATAAAACATTTGAAGCGCATCTGGTGCTATAAGATTGAGAATATTATTTTATTCCATATTCCGGCCTGTTTGGCCATTTTCACATGTCCCCAATTTGAACGTCCAAGATTAATTCTGACCCTCAATCTTTACGTGGGTCCCTTATATATAGGTACACCAACCACCGTACGCCTTTCCGCGAAGAATCCTTTTCTGCTTTCCTCTTGTCCATTCCAATTTCCAAATCAAACCATTCCGTTACGATCTTTTGGATGTTTCCCCACCGTCAAGAAGAATTTACGGAGCATACACGTGGCACTTCCTCTACCGCGCGATTTCAGCTGTTAATGCTCAACTGTATTTGTCATGCAGTGGCGTTACAGCGTAAGCACTCTGACACAAACCTTATCTGCCCATCGTTTCCCGTTTTACGGAAAGTAGGGCTGAAACCGCCGGCTTGTTGTCTTTTCTCGCAAATATCCGGAAATAAAATGTAACGCAGATAATGATGGCGTATTCTTCCCCGAGGCTTACACGTCTGCTATATTCTTATCCGAATTAATCCTTAATTATTGTCCACTTTTCCAACAACAAAAACTAGTTATTGTCCACTTTGTATTATCCGAGGCTCCATTTAATAAATGAAAAATATATATATAGTATATTTCAAATTACCCATATTACAAATAACATAACTCTAAAAATTTAGAAGAAATATACTTTAGAATGATGGAGGAAAATAACTTCGGATTTAACTAAAAGTCGAGAATTGAAGAGAAAAAATTAATATTTTTACTGTTTGGCAACTTAAGAACATAATTTATTAAATAAAATGTGGACAAATCGTGAAAATTAAGGATCGAGATTTCAGAGTTTAATTTCTAAATGGATGGTTATAGGTTAAGTGAATAAGAAGCCTTATAGTTTACACTTTACACTTTAGATATTTGTATTCAACTGCACCATCTCCTGACCAAAATTGTACTTCCCATAAATTTCAAACCAATAATTGCACATTCATATGTTATTTTTGTAAGTTTTCCTGAGCAAATTATATTTTTTATTTGAGAGACCCAATGCTCTGAGTATAAATGACGTAATTTCTTTTTTTTTTTTTTTGCAATTACGGTTTTGAAAAAAGAAGATATCAATTGCTGATATCATTTTAATGTCATTGTGGAAATTCCTTTTCAACCTTCACATGTTCGGAGTTAAAATAATGTTATCATCATCTTTATTTCAATTTCCATAAATCCTCCACCCAAACATCTGAATTCCTTTATACTAAAACTTCAAACATACTATCGACTGAAAACACTCATTCTACCTACCGACTAAAAACTCTCATTTCACCGACCGAAAAATGCTCATGCAATCAACTGAAATCCATCATTAGTTGGAATTGTCATAATTCTCTCATAGCTTCCCATCGAATTATAACTAAAACCTTCGAATTCTGAATCAGACTTCTCAGTGTCATCGTTACTCAAATATGCTTTTGGTAATCTCTTTATCCTCTGTTTCAATTGGAAGTCAGTATCAAATTCTCATTGCTTTTTCTTATTTTTTAATATAAAAATTTATTTTGATGTGTGATTAATCAAATTACAGATTTTCAGTAGTCAATTTGTGCTTGTCAACAACTGTTTGGAGTAGAAAGTTGTTGCGGAAGATCTTAATTTGCTATCATGAAGTATTACGTGTTCGAAATTATTTATTTTATATATCATCGACTGAAATACATAATTAATAAGAACTATCGTAATTCTCAAAACTTCCTATCAATTCTATGTAAAAGAAATCTCAATTGAATTCCTCAATGTCTTTGTCACTCAAATATGCTATTGGTAATCTCATTCTCTTCAATTTCAATTTGAAGTAAATATCAAACTCTCATTGTCTTTTTTTTCTTTAATAAAAAATCATTTTGATGTGTCATTTATCAAATTACAGATTTGCACTAGTCAATTATGCTTGTCAACAACTCTTCGGATTGCAAAGCTGTTGTGGAAGATCTTAATATGATATCGTGAAGTAATTACAGGTTTGAGAAATTCTATTTATTTATTTATTAATATTTGATTACTACAAAAAGGTTTAGCCAATCCTGGGTCCTATCTTTTCCCATGGCCGAGCCTAATTGCAATTTATATTAAAGCTTGTTTAGTGAATTGATTCAGAAACCATTCACAATGAGCATTATTTTTGTTTTTGTTTTTTTTTTCGGTTGGAAATATATATATTTTTTTATCTGCACTGAGAGTGTAGCTTAGTTGTTTTGTTATTGTTAATAGTATATTTGTTGCAATGACTGTCGGACAAATCCGATAAATCGGTCAAACGAGACGCATCTCCCTGGGGCCTAGTCTCGAGCTGTCAATGAAGCATGGACAGAGCGACACGTGTCACGGAACCGATTCATAGTCCGCCACGTAAAGAGTCGCACGCTCTCGACATCCAGTTTCGGACAAGACCCTCGGTGTGGGTCCCACCGTTATGTAGGAAGCCTCGTGGCGGACACACCAAAGGACAAGGGATAAGGCCTAGAGACCTCATCCACTACTCTCTCAACATCTCTGTCGTAAACTCTCCTAGCCGTCCCATTCTGTTACAATACCGCATCCAACGGCTCATAAGCTTTCGTCATTTTCTATTCATGTTTTTTCTTCTTTGAAAGAAACAAAGAAATCCACAAAATAATAAATGTGTGAAAAACAAAGTAAATTGTCCAGAACATTATCCCACTATTTTATGTTGGCCTCGGTTGGGTTGATCCTCCTGAGAGAGAGAGAGAGAGAGAGAGAGAGAGGATTACAAGGGTAGACTGTGAGAAAGTCCCATGAAAAGCAACCAAATTTTGGGGTCTCCTTTTTTCCCCATCTTTGATTAGATTTTTGTTCACCTTTCGTTTTGCTTCGTTCTTTCTCAATTCCACTCAATAAAAAGTGGGTTTTTGCAATTTCAGCTACTGGTAACATCTTAAACTGTTCTCAATTTTATTGCTGGAAGTTTGAATTTTGAAATTGTGATTGTTGTTCTTGTTCTTGTTTTGTTATTGCTGTTGTTGTGTTTGGTTTCAGTTGAATCCATATTTTCTCAGCAGTGCATGTGTGAGAATGTCTAGTTGAACCTCACCAAGAAAAGAATGTCTAGTTGAATGTTTGGTTGCCGAATATTTCCGGGCTGTGTGTGATCTGAATGTATTCCATTCCTTTTACCATCTCCTTTTATCCGGACAACAAGAAAGTTCTTGGTTTATACTTCCCTTGTTTCGATTCACTTATCTTCAAAGATATTTGCAGTCAGCCTTTAACTTGTCATAATCTCTTTATCCCTTAGCTAGGATTTCATTCGAAATTATCAGTACTAGCAGTAACCTCTCACTCAAAACTCAGACCGGTTGTTTGTATTTCAAGCTTATTGTAGTCTGCTTCTGCGATATAAATTTTCAAAAAGGTTTTGCTTGTCATAGAAAATACGTAATCTTTAATGGGTTGTTTCATCTATGTGGGCGAGGGGATAGATATAGAGAGGCTTTGATGAACTAGAGTTCCAGTCTAGAAACAAATGGTGTCCAAATCGTATTCCAATCTTTTGGAGCTTACCTCAGGCGAGGCTCCTTCGTTTGGCCGAATTGGCAGGCGAATTCCACGTATTATGACTGTTGCCAGTTTGATATCCGATGTTGATGATGATCCGTCCGAGAGTGCGTGCTCCGAAGACATGTCTTCATCTTCAGTCCAACGTGACCGAATCATAATAGTGGCTAACCAGCTCCCCATAAGGGCGCAGAGAAAATCAGATACCAGTAAGGGTTGGATTTTCAATTGGGATGAGAATTCACTACTTCTCCAATTGAAAGATGGTTTGGGGGATGATGAGATTGAAGTCATTTATGTTGGTTGTCTTAAGGAAGAAATTCACCCAAATGAACAAGACGAGGTTTCCCAAATTCTTCTCGAGACCTTTAAATGTGTCCCAACCTTTCTCCCACCAGATCTTTTCAGCCGGTATTATCATGGGTTCTGTAAGCAGCAGTTGTGGCCACTGTTTCATTACATGCTACCCCTTTCGCCGGACCTCGGTGGTAGATTTAACCGGTCCTTATGGCAAGCATATGTGTCAGTGAACAAGATTTTTGCAGATAGGATCATGGAAGTGATTAACCCAGAAGATGATTTTGTGTGGATACATGATTATCATCTGATGGTGTTGCCAACTTTCTTGAGGAAGAGATTCAATCGCGTGAAACTTGGGTTTTTCCTCCATAGTCCGTTCCCTTCGTCTGAAATTTATAAGACATTGCCTGTCAGGGAAGAGATTCTGAGAGCCATTTTGAATTCTGATTTAATTGGATTCCATACATTTGACTATGCAAGGCATTTCCTCTCATGCTGTAGTCGAATGCTTGGTCTTACCTATGAATCCAAGCGGGGTTACATAGGCCTCGAGTATTACGGTCGGACTGTTAGCATCAAGATTCTTCCTGTTGGTATACACATGGGTCAGCTGCAGTCGGTTTTGAGCCTCCCAGAGACTGAAGCCAAGGTTGTTGAGCTTATGAAACAGTTCTGTGACCGAGGAAGGATAATGTTACTCGGGGTAGATGACATGGACATTTTTAAGGGTATAAGTTTGAAGCTTTTGGCAATGGAGCAGCTGCTTGTTCAGCATCCAGAGTGGCAAGGGAAGGTTGTATTGGTGCAGATAGCCAATCCAGCCAGGGGTCGGGGAAAAGACGTGAAAGAAGTTCAGGCTGAGACATCCTCAACTGTGAAGCGAATTAATGAAACATTTGGGAACCCTGGGTATAAGCCTGTCGTGTTGATTGATGAGCCACTCAAGTTCTATGAGAGAATTGCATATTATGTTGTTGCCGAGTGTTGTTTGGTGACAGCTGTCAGGGATGGGATGAATCTAATACCATATGAATACATAATCAGTCGGCAACGGAATGCGAAATTGGATAAGGTTTTGGAGTTGGAACCCTCCAACCCGAAGAAGAGCATGTTAGTTGTCTCCGAGTTCATTGGCTGCTCCCCTTCTTTGAGTGGAGCAATTCGTGTGAACCCCTGGAATATTGATGCTGTGGCAGATGCAATGGACTGTGCCCTAGAGATGGCGGAGCCAGAAAAACAGCTCCGACATGAGAAGCATTATAGATATGTCAGTACCCATGATGTTGGGTATTGGGCTCGTAGTTTCCTCCAAGATCTGGAAAGAACATGTAGGGGCCATTTGCGTCAGAGGTGCTGGGGTATTGGGTTCGGTTTGAGTTTCAGAGTTGTGGCCCTTGATTCGAACTTCAGGAAGCTCTCTATGGAGCATATAGTTTCAGCTTACAAAAGGACCACAACTAGGGCAATCCTGCTTGACTATGATGGTACATTGATGCCTCAGGCTTCCATTGATAAGAGCCCAACTTCTAAATCCATCGATATCCTCAATAACTTGTGCAGAGACAAGAACAACATGGTTTTCATTGTTAGTGCAAAAAGCCGTAAAGTACTTGCTGAATGGCTCTCTCCTTGTGAGAAGCTTGGAATTGCTGCTGAACACGGCTACTTTCTACGGTAAATTTGTGCAAATTTCAAGTTTTATGTTTACACCAATCAAAATGTTGATTAGATTAAAACTAATGATTATATGGATTCAGATTGAAGCGAGATGCAGAATGGGAAACGTGTGCACCAGTTGCAGATAGCAGTTGGAAGCAGATTGCAGAGCCAGTAATGAAGCTTTACACTGAAACAACTGATGGTTCCACCATTGAAGATAAGGAAACTGCACTTGTGTGGTCTTATGAGGATGCTGATCCAGATTTTGGATCATGCCAAGCTAAGGAACTTCTTGATCATCTTGAAAGTGTGCTTGCTAATGAACCAGTTAATGTTAAAAGCGGGCAGAATGTAGTGGAGGTTAAGCCGCAGGTTTGATACCCCTTTCCTTGTTAAGTTGCTATCTCTGTTCTGTAAAATCTCGTTTTTGATTTCTCCAACCTGTATGATCAGTATCCAAATTCACATAAGCTTAGTAGCATGTGTGAAACGGAGAAAGGCGATGTTTTTAACATTGGGTTGGTCAAGGTATCAGAAGTTTGGAGGGGGTTGAGGGTTAGAGAGTGACTGCGCTCAAACTAGAGGTCATACCAAAATTATTAATACAAATTTCTTAATGTTACATAGGTATTGCATACTGTTTGACAAATGAAAATTTTGAAAACAATATGGCCCTTCCATGACAACAGATGCGGTATTGTTTGTTTTTTTTCCCCAAGGATAAGTGATTAATCAAGTCTTCTTCACTCATAGGGTTGATGCCCATTGAGAATCAAGATTGTTGGGTTAGGTGTGAAAACTTTTCTTTTCTTCATATAAATTGTGAACGTTGCTGCCTTCACCACAGAAGCTAACACATGGCTCAATTGGACTTACAATATTTCGATAAACTGAACATTCTTGTGTGTGTGTGCAGGGTGTAAACAAAGGACTTGTAGCCAAACGTCTACTTTCCACCATGCAAGAAAGGGGAATGTCACCGGATTTTGTTCTCTGCATAGGTGATGACAGATCTGATGAAGACATGTTTGAGGTAATCACAAGTTCCATAGCAGGCCCATCCATCGCACCCAGAGCTGAAGTATTTGCATGTACGGTTGGACGAAAACCCAGCAAAGCCAAGTATTATCTGGATGATACAGGGGAAATTGTTAGGTTGTTGCAGGGGTTGGCATCTGTGTCAGAGCAGACGGTACCTCTGTAGGCTTACCAAAGATAAAGAATGGGGCACCACCTTGTTTTCTCTGTTTGTAACTGCCATGATGTAGGTGAGTGGTGTATTTTGCATTACTTTGCCGTGTTTATTACTTCTTTTGTTCATCATGTAAATTACTGTAGTGGTAAGAGAAGCTGTGCAATCCGAGACTTTTGCATTTGTTGTTGTAAAGCTGTAAATGTGTTTGAGCATGAAATCCAAACTTTGTTTTGCTGCAGTTCATTCATAACTGTTGCCTAGGCTACCTTCTCTTGGAAGACCCATCTTCTAGGGTAAACCCCCCTTACGAAGAGATTGTTGTCTGGATTGCTTCAACACGGATTGATGATATTACATATTTTTTGTTTTACCTTTTAACCTTGGCAGAAATGTCGTTTGAACTTTGAATCCTTTTGGTGGGTTGTGTTCATGAGTGTAGAACTCAATACTTTTAGTTTGAATCTAGAATTGTAGAGCGCAGTTAACTGGAGGAATTATGCTCTTGTCACGACCAAGATGCTGCTGAAATTTGAAGTTGGTGAATGGTAGCAGCACGTAGCAAAGCAAGTGAAACCAGGACCTGTAGGCTTTTTCTGTGTTTTGGGCAATAATGTAATTATGCGGATCCCATCAGTATAGCAATTTTACGAAGCGGCAATGTCTTGTGCGGTGCTTTCCTTGATAACTCGGCAGGCACAATTCTTATACCCTAAGTCTCTGTGTTATCTCTTGCTGTGTTTTTCATGCTGATCTCTTATTTCTGTTTTTGAATAGAATTATCCCGCCCTGCCCGTCGTGGATAATCTTCGTGTTCTGTTCTGTCCTGTCTGTTGTTTTAGATGCTAATTAAGCCTTGTCGTGTTATTTGTCATAATTTTCTTGTTCGGGTTTTTAGTTCGTCTTTCCATTTATGTTGTGGGATGGGAAGTCTATTTTGGTTTGGAGTAGAAAACTGGGCTCGCTTGTGAAAAAACAAAGAATTTGCTCTCCCGACGCACCATTGGGTGGCCCAGTCAAAGTCCCAAGCCCAGACCAAGAAAGAGCAGAGCGCACGCGTTGAACTTTGGTGTTTTCATTTAGAAAATAATATAGCTGGTTTGGTTTATGTTCAATTTGATTTGACCAAGTACACAAATTAGGCCTCTCTTGTGACTCTCACAACATCCTTGTGAACACAAAGGCTTTTCTAAAACTTGAGGACTTGTGGTCGTGTCAAAGAGAGACTAAAAAAAAGTCACTTGGCTAGTTCATACGTAACTGATTCAATTTGCACTGAGAAAAAGAACCCCATATAATCAATAGATAAACGCACCAACTGGAACAAGTGTATTATAAAATAAACTCAGCAAAATGAAGGTAGGAACTGGTTAAAAGTCAGTCATCGAAACAGACAATTGTTGAAGAAGGTCAGCATATCGTCAGTCAGCGGGTAGCTTAGAGCTCAGCTAGCTAAGTCAAGTGTAATTGGTGGGCGAGGACACGTCATCAGAGTCTCAGACCACATACACGGCAAATAAGAAGTTACGTGTCGTGTCATACGGACGACAAAGGTGAGAGAGATAGCATTGAAACTGGGTCTAAAATTTGTCTCTGTTTCAATTCAAAACCTTTTGGCCTTTTCGGTTTCACACTGTCACTGGAGGGAGGGAGAAGACAATTCTACCAGTACTACCAGTGCTACCAGTACTAGTAATCAGACTAATTGGCCAATCCCCCAGCAGTATTGTAGGGATTTAGCATTGCTTGAAGAGTATGCAATTTGTAATTAGACTAGTTGCATTATTGCATACCATACTTTAATTCATTCAAATTATTTGAGGACCGACGACCAAAAGAAAGAAAGAAACCCACACCTTCTGTCACTCACACGCTACATGTCCCAATTAATTATTAGTCGCATCATCAATCTATATATATATATTATTTGTATAATTTCTTTTATTTAAGTGATTGTGATATTGCACGACTAAATGGGTAGAGCAGAAAGAGCCAGAGCAGTATGAGAATTTGAGAAATTATAAATTGTTTTGATTATACCTGTCTCCTGGGACTGGGATTTATATATATATTTTTTAAAAACCAACAGTCTTTGCTTAACAAAATCAATTAATAATTAGTAATAATTGAGGTTGAAAAAATAAAGAAACAAAATATTGACATATATAATAAAATATACGTGTGTGAGAGAGAGAGAAGAGAACGGTCAAACATCTTCTCACGACCTTTTGATTATTACCATATTTATTATTAAAAAAAAAAAGTATCACATTCTTCTTTCCCATTTCATATTCAGACCTTACCATATGTTACAAGTCAAGTCTTAGACATTGTTCTCTCTCGTCCAATCGTCTCCCTTCCTTCTATCTCTTCACACCTCTATTCTTGCCTTCCTTCCCATCAACTTTATCATCCAATTAAAACACAGGAAGAGATATACAAACCTCATCTCATCTCATATAGATAGGGTCAGAAGATACAGAGATCAGAAAAGAGAGAGAGAGATGAGTGGCGGTGATGATATCGTGGAGATGGCTGTAAGCAGCCTAGGCAAAGGGTTTGATTTAACCTCAGATTTCCGGCTCAAGTACTGCAAAGGCAAACAAAGACTGGTTTTGCTCAACGACGCTGATAAAAAAGAACTCGCAGTCCCCGGCTTCGGGTCCATTCAACAAGTCTCCACCGATATTAAATGTGACAAAGGCGACCGTACACGTTACCAATCCGATGTCCTCACGTTCAATCAGGTAATAATATTAGATATGTTTCTTCTTTTACAAATAATATTATCGATTGAATTAATAACATTTGTGCATGAAATGAATATAATTCATGCAGATGTCGCAATATTTCAACCAAAAGGCGAGTGTGCCTGGGAAAATCCCATCAGGGTTGTTCAATGCCATGTTTGGTTTCGAAAGTGGTTCGTGGGCAGCGGATGCAGCCAACATCAAACGCTTGGCTGTGGATGGTTACTTCATCATCTTCTTCAATGTTCATATCGATAGGTACCCTCTTGTTCTTGCCGATCAAGTTCGTCATTCTGTTCCGTCCACTTGGGATCCCCCTGCCCTTGCAAGGTATGAATTAATTCAAGACTTCGATCATATGGATTTTTAGTTTTATTTTACTTGTAAGTTGTTTTTCTTTTCATATCAAGGAAACCAATTGAGTGGGTTTTGGGTTGAGTTCGAGTTGGCCTCCTAACTCGTCCACCTTGTCCAACTTAATTTCATCCCTAATTTTCAGGCGCAAATATATATTTTGTATAGATAATACAATAATGTACGGAATGATTGCAGCTCTATCTTTTGGCATCTGCCTGCTAATTAATAAAATAGTCTTAGCATACAAAAAAATATTAAATTCATATTGGACGGCAAATCAAAATTAGTAGCTTGGTTTAGTAACAAATCCTGGGTTTATTTCCTGAAGAGGGGGCATGAATTTCGAGGCAAAAGGATGGACATAAAAATATACAAGGTCGCTTTCCTTTCCTTGTATGCACTCTTTCTTTTTCTTATTAAAAGTCATAATCATGCGAGAAGACTAGTAACCCCGTACGTCGTCAAAAGTTTTGGCCTTTATTGGTGATTGACCACGTTTCACGTAGGAACGTTCAAACCTTATAAAATCCTCACTTTTAATGCCTGCTAATTGCCAATCTCACCATAATTAACACTCTTAATATAAAAGTACAGAGTGTCTTCCCCTCTATATATGTTCAAACTAGGATCTCTATATGTTGTGCCTTGTGGGGATCGATCGATCATGTGTTTAACCATTATTAAAATATATCCTGTAAAAATATGATAAATATAGCATTACTTTATACAGATTGCGAGTATTGTTTGACCTTTCAAACTGGTTTTGGCCTGCCATTTTCACATGAAGGCTTGGTTTTCCATTTGACATAATAATAAGTACAACAAGTCACATAATTAGGCGGTGGTACTGTATTATTTGATTTCCCATTGTGGAAGGTACTTTCTTGGCCTGACCAATTCTTTGGTTTTCGATGAATTAGCTGTCTAGTTGGAAAGCATTTTGGTCAACCAATATAATTTATAGACTTATGATAAATTCTTACGTACACATTTGACAGGTTCATAGAGAAGTATGGGACTCACATCGTGGTGGGATTGAGTATTGGGGGCGAGGATGTGGTGTTAGTAAAGCAAGATAAATCTTCTGACATGGAGCCATCTGACCTCAAAAATCACTTGAACGAGCTTGGAGATCAGCACTTTACAGGGACATGCAATTTCTTTCCTTTACACTCCAAAGCAAAAGACCAAAGACACAAGGCACCACTGCCCTTCAATGTCTTTCATCATGATCCCAAGTCTGTGGCCCCTAATGGCTTCTCCACCGCAAACACAAAAGATGTATGGCAAAATAAACTAGGGTTCAATTGTTCTTGTTTGGGTTTAAAGAAGTAACAGTAGTTGTAATGACGATGTGGCAGATGACTTTTTGCAGGGTATTAGCGTGATAGGCTATAAAAGAGGAGGAGATCCCTTGGCCAGTAGCCACTGCGAGTGGCTTCAAACCGTTGGATCGATGCCGGATGCGATTCAATTTAGCTTCATTCCTATCACGTCTCTACTTAAAGATGTGCCCGGCAAAGGTTTCTTATCCCATGCCATCAACCTCTATCTTCGATGTAAGTTAATTCTTTCTCAGGTACTTAATTATTTATCGCTCGCCGATGTCTTATATTGTATCTATATATATAAAGCAAAATGAAGAGAATGGTAAAACATTTAAAATACTAGAAAATACCCTTAGTTAATTCAAACATTTTGAATTGAAATATATATATATTTATATATATATATATAAAGCAAAAGGCAGAGAATGGTGAAACATTCAAAATACCAGAAAATGCCATGTTGCTTTTAATAAACCCAGAACACTTGAAAGAATAAAAACACACTTAAGATATTGAACTATTCTTCTCATTAATTTCAAAGGAAGGTTACAATTTTAAAAGGAAAGACTGAAAACAAATAACAAAACAACTCTCCCACGATCACATACAGATTTTGTGGTGAGTTCTCATCCCTAAGCAACGGAAGCAAACTGAATCGTGGTGAACACCCTCATCCATGACTCCTACAAAACTAGGACTCATGCTTGACTAGGTCTCTACATAATTAGTCAGCATTATTTAATTGAAAAACTTAATTAAACTCTTAACTAAAACTCTTAACACCCTCCATTATTTCTACTGAAAACAGTTTAGGATTTAGACACCATCACGAAATCTTCATAAGCTTCTTCAACCATCACATATTCTGCCAAGTTTTCAGCCCACTCCTTCTCAAGATGTTTGAGTGAACGCACTCCAAGTAGCTTCCTCAATTTTTCGAAAGAGAGCTGCTTGAGTGACTTTGTGAGTATATCAGCCAATTGATTTCCAATCTTGCAATACTCGAGATCAACTACACCATCATTGCACAGATTTCGCAAAAAATGAAAGCGAACATCAATGTGCTTACTTCTTCCATGCATTACAGGATTTCTTGATAACTTTATGGCTGAAATGTTATCACAGAAAATGATTGTTGAACCCTCTTGCTTATAACCAAGTGCTTCCAGCATCCTTCTTAGCCAAATAGCTTGACATGCACATGAGGCAGCTGCCACAAACTCAACCTCAGTAGTGGATAAGGTCACAATTTGCTGCTTCTTTGAGGACCATGTAATTGCT